TCCAGCAAGCTTCATCAAGGACTCGCTGGTGGATTAGAAGGAATTTCAGAAACCAGACTAATCCTCTGCTCTGTCACACAGACTACCAGATATTTGAAAGCAATGAGCCATGGTCCTGTGCAATATGGCAATAGCACTTAAAGTAATTAAAGAAATATTGACAGCAATCAAATTAATTGAAGATTCTTCATCTTTCTACATGTGATCCTTCCCTGGAAGAAAATTAATAGTTGAGGAAGATGTTGCAAATAGATGTAAAAATCTGTTTCTTGGTGAGGAGCTCTGCCACATTACATAGCCTTTTACAGAAACAAAACCCTAAAAATTAATGGAAGAATAATACTTATGTGTTCAGAAAGCACTGATTTCTAAAGAGCTTCTAGAACTCCCTAGCAAATGATGAGAATCCTTGATGAAGGGACTCCTGCAGTCTAAAGATTTCCTGTCAATTTGAAATAGTAGCTACAAAGCCAAATAAGATTCTTTTCACATAAAACAATGAGATGAAAAGTACCCTCAATTTCCACAACACCCTGTTTTTGTAGACTGTTTTCTATTTCATCAAGCTGAAGGTATTTCAAGATATTCTGTATTTTGGTTCAACCATGCACTTCAAAGTAAGAGATGAAAGGGGAGAGATGTACAATGATGAATTACTTCTCAAACTACATTTCTGCCCATCCTTTAAGTTTGCTATGATTTATAAAAACACGGCTTGGCATTTCAGGAAGAAAAATGTCTTTCCTCCCTCCTCTGCTATCTAAAACATGTATCTTCCATAAAACAGCCTTTGAGTGAAAATTATGACCAGCTGTAAGATTGTGCTTCTCTCTGCTACCGAGGGAACTTCTAACAGCAGTGAACTCAGTAACTGAGGGTCTAGACTTTGCAGGATGTTGCTCAGCAGAGCTAGAATTGCTGCAACTCTCCTTTCTGGAAAGAAAACAAGCTTCTTCTGAACAGACATGCAGGGCAATCTCAATCTATACCGTTCTAGAGGAGTTACCACCAATATGTACAGACTTAAATACCTATTTTATTTTCAATAGCTGCCTAAGGGATGCCTCAAGCAGGCAGATGGGAAATGAAGTTAAACAAGAAATCCAGAAAGAGTTTTGCTAGTGGAGAGGAAAAAAATTCTTCTATCAGTCTCCTGTTCTGCTGCAGATTGCTACCGACCTGGCGACAGGGCAGGTTAAAAAAGTCCAACTGACCTGCCTTTTCTGCCTTAGACTTCTGGCAACCAATTCTGAAATGTCAGAAGGTATTTGAAAAATAAAAATTAATTTGTGCTGTCTCAAATGTGTGGTGACAACACAGAGTGACCTTTCAATTTTTATATTTAAATAACACTTATGCCACCACTAGGAGTCTGCTTTAAAGGCTGAAGCCAGCAATCAGAAAGCATTTGCATTAACCAATAAATAAAACACTTTCTGAATTGTGTTTTTTTGGTGATGTATACCACAGTGGTACACAGTAATCTTCCTGGCTATGACACATTCAGCTACACAGCTCTTATTAAAAGAAAGGAGAAATTAGAACCCCAAAATGCTGGAACAAAGAATTGAGCCCGTGCTAAAGCACAAACACCTAAACTGGCTACCAGTGTGACCTCCAATTTTAAATGGTCAGGTCAAAAATGGAACATATTCTCCCTCCTTACTCACCTAGATGAGAGACAATTTCTATCCATTATTTTTAAAGTCTTCCTTTGTGTGCTGGATAAGAACATAATTTCAGCGATTTCTTTATAATCTGGAGGTAGAATTTTTACACAGACTTAGAAAGCCACAGCTGGTGGCAAGAACAAGCTCATGTCAAAGCAGCTTTCAGAGACAGAGCATATGCAGAAGGCAAACATCTGAAATAGAGCCCTGATATGCCAGAGAACTACTGTCACTTCACAAGGTACTACCTGTCACAGGTACTGGAACAGCTGACTGCAGATATGTTTTGACCTGTGGCTAATGACAAGCATTTGCTACTGGCATTTGAGCCATCAGCTGGATCAACCTAGCCCCAAAGGCTCAAATACAAGGACTCCTGCCAGCATGCCTGCTGAATGTCTCTTATTAGTTTTAAATTGACACACTTGATTCAAGCCATTCAGCCTATAAGCAATTGTGGAAAACATTCAAATACTTGAAGGTACAGAAAAAAAGTCAAGACTAACAATTCAGGATGTTATTGCAGAATGTTAAGTGTGACCCTCTTTTATACTACAGAAGAGGAAACTACTTTATCTGAACTATAATGAAAGATGCAGAAATTAGAAATGAATGCCCACTGTGCTCAAATGCAAAAAATTAAATTTGTTTAATAAACTGCTGGCACATTAGAAACTGAGTTTCATTATAATCCCCACTGAAGACTCTTTCAGGCAGTTTCCCCAGTTTAGTACCTTTAATACAAATCATTCAAGTATTGTAGTGTTCCCTCACCAGAGCACACATTTTCAAGGAGCGTCTGAAATGCAGAAATTCTGACAGAGAAGGCAGACATTATCACGGTGGAAGCAGAGCTATATACAGGAATCCAAATGGGTGTGAGGTTTTAGCATTTAATGACCCTGCACTGCACTTCAAACTGGTACAAAAAGCAGAAAAATCTCTTCTGTCTGCAGTCATCCAGCTGAGGCGCATGCCTTGTGATGTGGGATCCTTCCCTTGCGCTTTGCTTTGACACATCAGGAAATCAGCACCCAGCACAGCCAGATGTGTCCAGATGGCACTCCAGATGTGTCTTGTGTGGCTGTAACACTCCCCACATTGACACTGTCAGTGTCCAGCGGCAGAAAGAGTTTTCCCTTCAAACAAGGACAGGGCACTTATGCCATTCAGATGACCCCATGTGAAAGCCAGCCAGCACCCATGGCTCACCTTTGCCGACAGAGCCCTGAGCACCTTTCCATTAAGCCTGCTGGACAGGGAAACTGGAGGACCTTAGCAACAAAGCAGCAGCAGATAAAAGCCCTGAGCACTAATCTGCTCAGCAGACAACAAAAAGGGCTGTACAGTCCTGCACAGCCCGCTGGGCTTGAAGGTAGAAAGAATAGCCGAGTTGTTGCCCCTTCATCTTTTGATGCTCCCTCTAATTATCTCAGGGAATTCTTACTCCCCTAAGAATTCTCCAGCTCAAAATCACACTTCTGGGTTTATTTGGTTTTTCTCCAGCAAATGAAAGAAACTTTGCAGGATTTTGGAAAAATCAAATGTATGTTTTAATGCATTCGTTTTTCTGGAACCCTACTGCTCTTTAAGATTGAAGCAATGATTTACTATGTGTATTTTGGGGCTATTCCTTAAAGGAACAACCAAACACAAGTAACACTTTTAAAACAGTGTTGCCAAATGCAGAAGTACTTCTTTCTTACTAGTAAGTAATGTCAACACTACAGCTGTAATGGGAAGTTCCAGGAACATGGTTAAACTAAATTCTTCTTGGCTCAGAGCCATGCAAATATTTCTTTTCCACATTCCCATCAATTACAGAGGTACAGTAAGTGTTTTTTTGCTTAAGTGCACTATTAGAGGGGACACAAATAAGTCATTTTTCTTCCAGTGGTTGGAGCTAACATTTCTATAGTATCATATTACACATTTGGCAGACTCAAAGCATGCTTAGATTTTTAGTTGTGTTGCATTAGTAAGCGACGCCATTTGAATCAACTGAAAACAGGTAGTACAACTGCATGTCCCACCCAGACTACACACATTTACAGTGTCCAGAGAGTAGGTTTTACTTCAATACTGGTATAAGTAATCATGCTTGGGAAAGCAGAGAACAATTAACTGTTTACGTGCAAACAATAGCAGGCATGTTTCCAAAAATGATTTTTCATCCATATTTATACCCTTCAGCTCAAATACTCATCTTGGAAAATAAATCAAGGTATTTCACCAAGAGTTAAATATCACCTTTTTCACAGTACTCAGAACCTGTTCTTACCAATCCTTTAAATACAGCTTCACTGGGAGTATCTGACCATGACTGACAAAGACAGCACCTAGCCAGATACACAGGTAGGGAGGTTAGGGAATACAGTCCCATTCTCTTCAAGCCAAACTGATAAATCTAAGAACTGAAAAGCCTGACCTTACAACAGCTTTCTGACCAGTGCAAGGGTGACTGTGGGGCAACTAAAGCAGTTAGAAATTGTTAATGTGAAATTACTAACATGGTGATCCAGGAAGACAGCTTTATGCTGGATGGTAGAGAGGACCATATTATCTTGAGTTAAATTTGATTTCAATTGCAGTATCAAAATCTGTAGAGTTATCATATCTGTACATATCACAGCACAAAAATAGTTGAAATAGGTTAAAGCTATCAAATGTCACTATAGTACATTGCTTTTTTACTGCAATTCTGTTAGGTTTTATTTGCAATAATTTGCATGATAGAACTATGGAGAGATCCTTATTTTACTATTAGCTTTCACGTGGAAGGGCAACTATTGCCCCAAACCCCTCCTGCACACCCAGCTGAAGAAATATTTACTCCATCTAAAGGTGATAAAATTTACCCTTCAGTCACAGTGGTATGAACAACCATGGCAAGGAAACAACTCATTTTTGCATGGTGAAGAACAGCAGTGCTACAAGAGTTCATAGTCCCTTTTAAAGTGACCTTTAAAGAATTCTTTATCTCCTACTCTAAACAGCTGATCTAGACTACATACAATATAACCATTATTTGGGTGCTGAAAGCATCAATCTAACCAGGCCACATAATGTACTTCTGGCTCACTGCTCTCCTTCCCATTACATGCCTAAAATTTGAACAGCGAATAAGCTCCCATCTTCACCATCAGTGCACAAAAAAAGTGGCTGTACCCCATTCTGACCCCTCTTTCTGAGACAGGAGTACAACAATATTTTCAGGCAGAAGGACTACAACATATTAGTCTTTACAAGTGATGCTGTGGGATCTCAGTAGTAGAACATCTGCTGTAGCTCCCTGGTTGTAGATGACATATGGAAAGCACATGGACTTACTGACAATTCTCTGATGAATTTTCTTAATTCCTTGTGCCCATGCTTCTTCGCAATACTTTCTGGATCATCTCCATATTTATTGGTTATTTTGCAGGCCCGTGTGGCCTCAGGACAACTGAGTAGAAATGCTGCAAGTTTCTTCAAGCCAAATCTGGCTGCACAGTGAAGCAGGGTAGGAAATTCTTCCAAATGGCTATCTGTATAATAGAAACAAAGTCTTAAAAAACAAAAGTTCTGCTTTTATAGAACACCTTCAGCTATAAACATATTTTGAATATTAGTGCTGTGGAATCACAGTTATCAAGCTCCTGGTATTGAACTAACAGCCAAAGAATTATTTTTTCAATTACCAGTTTTACAGTGCGTATACGTATATCAATAAAGGAGCCTTTGGTGTTACTGAGAAATCTCATTTTTATCCTGACAGAAGGATTTTAAAGCACTTCAGTTCTACTGAGAAATAAGCTTTCTTGCAAAGGGCACAAAATTCTGCAGCCATGACATGCTTTTGCTTAGGTAAAACATTTTTGAGTGGGACAGTTTTACAGGTTTATGATCCTATGTTTTGATATTAAAAATAATTTATGAAAATTCACTACCAGTACTAGCAGACACTTGGAAAAATTTGCTATCCCTGAAATGAAATGTAAACACACTTGTAAAAATTTGCTTATCCCTGTAATGAAAAATCAGAAAATTTAAAGATGAATTAGATAAAAGTTTTTAGGATTTATCAGAAATAACATGATACCAATTTCTATCAAAAACCATTTTTACACTGGAGAACTGGGACATTCTGTTTATCATTTCAGCATCTTATGATATTTTAACTGTATGAGTGAACACAAGTTTCTTACAACAACAACCAAACAAGCAACAACAAAGAAAAAGAGCTCAAGCATAAAAAATACTTCGCTCTGCAGTCATACTCTACTTCCTGATTACTTGTGGTTTGCTGTGTACCAGTTGGTCTATAACTCAGCATAAAGTGTATCTCTTCTCCAAGCATGCACCATCAACTTTTTGAACCCTGAGGGTCTTTCCGACCACTGGAGCATGAAGGAATGCTCCCCCTAGTTTTCTTTGAGCCTGGCTCCTGCTTGGACTCAACTGCTAGCACCTTATTAATCTTATTCTCCATCACAGTCTGCCCTCTGTGCAATTAACAAAAAAATATTTTTCTCAATTGTCTGCCTCCTGGTTTTGGTCAGTTATTCATCCAAACCCAGTCAGTTACTGACCTAACCAGGTTTACTGACTCTTAAAAAAAACCCTACAACAAGTTCATGAAGCCAGACGTCACATTACAGAAGACTTATTTTGTTAACACTTATATTAGTTTGTCCTGTAGAGATAATACATTAACCTGCTTCTAGGTCACAGGGTTGCCTGAGAAACTGGGTTTGGGCATCAACTCCTGGTTTGGTCACACCTCGTAGTACTAAAAAATGAAATACTGGATTGCTAGAAACCCAGATATTCTACTTTAAAATTTCCTCAGAGCTCATAAAGAATGCCAGTTAGTCCTGGTAATTTCCTTGTGTTTAGCCTGCCTGTTTTTGCAGTAACTTCATGGTGCCTTCAACTCCAGACAGTCTATTTCCACATGTGTCCCATCCAGGGCTACAGCTTAGGAATTTACACAATTTCTTCTATCTTTCTTGAATTTTATTTTATATCCCTGCCATCAGTTGTCTTACAGGTTAGCCAGCACATTTTCAGCCCATAGTGTGCTGGAAGAAGTTATGACTTGTTATGGAAATCTCTTAGCCGCCAGTCTTTAACAAACTTTCTAATTCTTACATTCTTTTGCATAGTAAAATTTGGCTCCTTTGCCCACCCTTTTTGCTCCAGCAAAATCAAAATATGGGAGAGAGTAAAATCTTATCTCATCATCAAACATAAGGAACAAGAGCAGTTCTTGGAATAGGCATAGCTAAGTACTAACTGAGAAAAAAAACATTGGGACAATTTTGACTGCATTGTGGACAAAGAATATTCCAGCACTATCCCACTCCAATATTATTTTGACAGAAGGTATTTGAGGGGGATACAATTTACTCAAAAGTACCATTAACAACCCTAAACTGATTTTTAAACAAATTTAGTGTTGCCTGACTTTTATTTCCACCAGGCAAAAAAAAAAAAATGTAATCAAGAAACTGTAAATACACAGCACCTGTGTAAATCAAGCTACTTGTTTTAGAAGCCTTGGCAGGTTGAACTTCGATCAACAAGAGTATGTATTATAGTTTATATTCCCTTGTATTTGCAGTGTGCTTTAAAATCCTTTGGGCCATAACAGGAAATCTTAAAACTACATGGCAGCTAGGGTTTTTGAGACAAGTACATGCTACACAACTCTACTCAGTATTGCTCAACATTTTAATTAAAGTTCCACAAACTAGGTCTCATTCTGTCATTTGAAGAATCATCATTTTTAGCCCAGAGTATATGCATTTGATTTCTTATTTTTGTCTAGATTTTTCTAAATGTAAGAAAAAATAGGATTCTCTTTAAAAAAGTGTTCAAACCTAAGATAATAATTAAAAAAACTTCCACAAATCCTCAAACTGCTTTTCTTTGTGTTTATGGGTTTTGCTATTTGTTTTTTCAGATATCTACAAATGCATTAGGTACCCCATAGTTTGCACCCTGTTAGGCAACACCTGAAGGTCAAATCTAGTCAATAAAAAGAGCCTTAACACAGTATTAATAACATGGTCGAAATGCTTTTCCACTCATACCTATGAACCCCCCCCCAAAAAGGTTACAAATCTGAAATGTAATCAAGTCTATACTATCAATGGATGCTACGATTTCTTCACCAACAGAAAGAGAGGAAGAGTAGGTGGTATTCATAAGCCTGCTTTAGGCAGGTATATACCCGCCTAGAATGTATTTCTGCACTCTTAAAGTAACACAGAACAGAGGTATTCCAAAATCCCTTCAGCTCCTTGCACTTGAGCTGTTTTTCCTGGTCATCACTCAACTCCTCCCTAGCTGAGTTTGATATTCAGGCAGGACTCCTACACTTACATACTTTGAACATTAGAGGAAACTACGTCATTAACAAATGAAATGCCTTAGCCAGCCATGGAAGATGGTAAAAAGAAATTTATAAACCAATTTCCTAAGACAATTTTTTTTTTATATTGCTCCTTATAGTAAGCAGGGGAAAAAAAAGTTTGTTGTCTTTGTTTGCTTTGCAATTGCTTTTCTCTAAATTGGTTGTAAGATTCAGCTGATTCTTAATCTGAATGGAACAAGATATGTCATACAGAGAGCCTTGTCTGCAATTTCATTTCAGATTTTTGTAATCAATTTCTCAATAGGATTACCTTCAGGGCTCATTCACTTATCTCAGCACTGAGCCTTAAGTTTTCCTTGGCCCTGCACTTTACAGCAACACTCCTACTGTGGTATTCGATAAAGTTGTTTACTCTTTATGTATCTGTAATTATCACCACTGAGCATAAATGACATAATGCTGAGCATGTATTTAAAATAATAAAAAATGGAATAAAAGCTAGATATCATCTCCAAGCCCAGTGTACAGCATGAAGAACAGATATGGTGACTGCTTAGAAAATAAGTTGCAAAGGCAGGAAAACTTTAAAAGCAACATTGGTGGTATAGTGTGACCTTTTACATAAAACTCAAAAAGGAAATAAGTGGATCAAATGGACAATTTTAGTCTCTTCTGCTCACGCACCCAAAACCTGGTGGCATTGAGTTGTGACACAAGAAAAAGTCATTGTGAGGACACACAGATGACTGAGCTTCACTAACTTCAGACAGTTTTCAATGCTCTGATTTTCAGGCACTCCACTGGCAGCACCCTGCACTCACACAAAGTAGGACACAATCTTCAAGGGCCAAACTTCCCCAGCCTTGCTGATGATCCCTCCCTCAAAGCACTGAACTCCTTGAGGCCTCCTCAGTACAACTGTTGTCTTGGTAAACGCGATACTGACAGTGGAGCTGGCTGCTGCTGTTTCAGTAACCTCAGCAACATTTCAGTGATATTTCTGCATGCAGCTGTGGGACCAGTAGTCACTCTCTGCTAATAATAATTAGCTAGTAACATAAGCCAATAGCTTTGCCTCTCATGCAGTGAAGAGAAAAATATGTCCTTGGACTTAGCCTCTCAGAAATTCCTCCCCCAAATCCATACGTAATTATGAAAGACAGTAATGTTAATGACCTCAAAAGAGATGATTGAAGTTTCCTGGTCTTTGTTTTTTGTCCTCATTGTGAAAAGCAATATCATTATCTGTTTGAATCCCTCCCAAATCAGTAGGAAAATGTGAAGAACCAGGTTCTAAAGCAGAAACCAATGATAACTATGGGTACCACTGATCAAAATAACAGGTGAGAAAAGCCCACTACAAGATCTATTTGTGCTTGTTTTTTAAATTATAACTGTTCTTTTACTGCCAATTCTCAAAACTGAGCTGAGCTCTTAAGAAACTAGATATTCTGCTGTAAAGAAAATTCCATTATACTAAGTTTAACCACTTCAAATAAAGTTTTGCATTATACACAGTAGGAAGAGGCTATAATTATTTGAAAGCCCACGTGCATCAGACAGAAAATACCAGTCTTGAAGTTGCAAGTTTGTCACACTGAATTGGTGAAAATTGCTGGAAATTTTGTTTGCTGTGAAACTGGAACAACTGGTGCATTTCAGCTCACTATATAGAACTATATAGAGCAAGAGCAATAAGGGTGTAGTAGGGTCTAGTAGCTTTAACTCATCATCAGTCCTTTAATGGAGAATGTTAACAGAAAAAAACTGTGGCTGTTTGGCACATACACTAAGAACTAGTTCGTAGATGATCACAAGCTGGAAGGAAAGGTTAAAGGGAAAATCCTCAAGTAGCACATTATTAAGTGCTTTAAGGTGGCTTCTTCAACTTTCAACTTACATTGAGGCCAGTGCTTGCTTTTAATTGAAGTTCTTTTTGACATACACAAGGTTAAGAGTGAATTTCTGGGGTTTGTTTGTACATTTTGTCCTGTCATAGTCCTCTCTTTTCTCTGCAGAGAATTCTGCAAAACCTCAGCTACAAAACAGAGCATAAAATCCAATATTACTCTATCATAGCATTGTCTTAGCCTGTGGCAATTTTCGTTAAATTGAAACAAGGAAACAGAGCAGCCTACACTGATATTTCTGCACATCTTGTAAGACATTCTTCTTTTATTTCCCAAATTATTGAAACAGGACACGGTTGTTTTTCTTAGCAATTTAAATAGCACCTAAGATGACTTCTACAGTGCCAATACCAGTACCTTCTCTCTCACCCCATTACTCTGCTAGAAGCTAAAAACCCAGACTCTATTTCTTCTTTTGGGATAGATGTTTCAACTTGGAAAAAAGAATTAGAGAAATCAGGACAGAATTTGCTATATTGCTAGCAGTTTTAGGTGACAAAAAGCACTGTTTTCTATAAAGCAAATTCAGGACTTTTCAGAAGCATCAGTAGTTGAGTTTAATTAGAGAAAAAGTAATATATAACTTCTAAACGGGAAAATTAATTAATACTGGAAAATGAACCAGTTTTTTCTCAAGTAAATTGTTATTTCTTGGACAGGAAACAATGCAACAAAAATTCCCAAATCTGAGGATTCTGAGAAGAAGGGCTTTCCAAAAGAAACATATTTCTCAATAAATATTTTGAAACATGAGTTTGTATTTGTTGGTATGCTTTGACTCGATTCTATTACCAGAGTATAAAGGAATAACGTGCGTAAAATATTGTAATATATTATAATATTATACAATACCCTGAAATCAATTCAGTATGGAATGTACAATATTTCAGACAGTGCCTTTAGTTACAGTCTTTCACAAGAGATGACACCACCACAAAACATCCCAGACAAGTCGTGGCTCTGTCTCCATTTAATGCTCTTTGTTAAACACAGCATTTTCCAGTGGTTTCTATTCAGTCCGCATTTAGCTCACTCATCTGTATCACAGTTAACCTTTGCATCTTTGCCACCCATCTTGACATTACCAGCCTAGACACTGACTGCTCACAAATACTGCATTGTCATACTAAAAAAAATGTTGAACAGCCATTTTGGGGATGGGATTGGCTCCTCAAAAATTATGTAAGCAAACATGCATCTCACGGTATTTTGATCTAAACCACTGTCTGTACAGGAAAGCATCATACTGCATTTTAATTTCATTACATCACGTGCCTTTTGTATTTACTTTTACACTCCCAAGTTTTCAATCACACAGCTGCACTCTTTGTGAGAAGTCAAACCATACAATTCATTAGTTTTCCAATAAATTAATCATGAGTTCTTCATTCTTGGTTCATTTTGAGGTCATATTGAGATCTTTCAAGTGCAGCAATTTATCGGCTGTACCCTGATGTGCAAGAATGTTCAAATAAAGCATCCATGTAGAACGATACAATTTCTCTTCCCTATACTTCATGCTGAAAGCTTGCACTCCTCTCATCCATTACGGGACATGTCTAGTGGCTGTTTGGGATGCTTTCATGGGAGTCAAAGACACAGGTTTATATACCTTTCAGGCAGAAGAAGGATGAGAGTCTAAGCCTCCTACATTCTGAGTGCTTCCAGTGGCTGCAAACACTTTTTTCATGAAGAATCTGGACATCTAACTTTGCACCTCCATGCATCAAACCAGTTCATTTTAAGGTCACTATTGGCTGAAGCAGTCAACTTGCTCTTGAAACACACAAGCTTTTTGGGGGCCATAGCAGGCTGGTTAGAATTATTCTCAATATTCAAAAACATCACCAGATCTAATAGTTAATAGAGAAGTGAAAAATCTTTTGCTCATCAACTAACATTTCACATTGGGAAAGACTCTTGAATCTGTGTTATCCACCCCCATCCTGCAGTCTTGCACAGGAAAATGTCAAGGACCTTGTTCATTTGCTCCCACTAACTTTGATGCTTAAGCTCATTTTTTACATTACAAGTTGAATCATGTTTATCAGAGGAATAAATTGCATCAACAAAGAAAAGGAAAGGAAACATGATGGCAATGTAGTGCTACCTTCAAAATTTGTTTGTATTTTGTTATGAAAAGTGGTAGGTTCACTGATTGTACAGAGTTCATTTCTCTCTCAAAACCACAGTCCAGCTACACAAAACAGACATCAAGCAGCATCCTGAACACATCTTTTTCAAGTATTTTAGAAGGAAAACACATTTTCTTAAGTAATATTTTTCCCCAAAAGCTTCCTAAAAATGCTGAGGTTTAACACACATTTGAAATAACATCATAATGATGCTTTCAAAACACAAGCTAAATAACCACACTCTTGGTTTATTGCAAACCAGTTTGAATCCCTAGTAAGTGGCTAATGAATTCAACCAGGGCCCTCCATTTGGTACTAACGGCAGCTTCTGTTGATGCATGACTGAATTATCCATATAATGTATCTACTTTATAGAGAATCCCTATATTAAACTCACTGAGATGCCTTCTTTTAAAAATTAAAAATAACAAAATTATCTTTTTGCCAGAAGTAATGAAAACCATTAAGTGCATAAGTACTAAAAGTGACTGACGTTTAGTACTGTTCTAAGATCAAAAGCCATCCATTCTTTTTAGATACAGAAAACTTCCAGATTTCCCCCATACTTGGAAAAAGTGCTGTTTAAACTGCATTGCAGAAGAGCAATTAGTAAAAAAACATATAATGTACAGGCATCTCCACATGACTCCTATTACCCATTTCCTCTGTAAGTATGAATTTGCTCAGATGCAAAGCTGTCAATTTGCAGTTAATCCAAAGCTGATCGAAAATCCAGAGAAGTATAAATACAAAGTACTGAGTCACAAAGTAATGATTTACAGAATTATTTCTCCAATTTTTTCTGCTTATATTGCTTTATTGTGAATTCTTCCATTTCACTAGAGACTTTCAATACTTAAGGGTTGTCTTATTAACATTTATAAGTAATAACCATGGTATCAGTAATAAAAATCAATACATAGAAAAAGTGACTCACTAGCTTGGTGACAGTGCTCTTCTTCACTTTGGAATGGGCTGAATTCATAAGTAGATATTTTGTTTTTCAATAACGAAGTCAGAACATTGTCTACCTTCTCTACAGAAGAAAATTTCAATGCCTGTTTAAAAGAAAGAAAAAAACAAACAAGAGTGTATTTGTTGTGTATGTATTTTTAACTTAATACTCAGAGTGCTGGTGAATCAAATTACTCAAAACAGCATTATGGGAAACTAACAGTAAGAGAAGCACAGTTTTTGAAAACTATAGAAAAGATATTGTAATACAAAAGGATCATGTCAACATGATCCAACTGTACATAAATATGCATTATAACATATGAAGTTCAGACATGACTTAAAAACTTCTGGATGAAGTGTAAGGACAGGAAGATCTATGTTGTACTACAGGAGTAGTTCAGGGCAAGTTTAAAGATTATAGTAGCTCTCTGTTAACCAAAACTTTTGCATTAAGATTGTGGATTTGTCTAGGTAGGAAACAGCTTCAGTTTCATCAGCCAAGACAGAACATTGTTGACAGAACAAGAAACTGATATCAACCAGATAGATCAGCTTCCTACTAAACACATTCTTTAGACAAGGGAACTCTGCACTGACTGCCTTGAGATTTTTGAGTGCCTCTTTCTGGACAGAAAGTCGAGATCTATGCCTAACAACTCTCAAGGTAGCCAGAATTAAATATTTCATTGCCTGACCTGACAAGAGCAGCCTGACTACAGAGATTGAAGAGTAAGGACATTTTACACCATGTACTACAGCTGTGTACTCCAGCCTGTGCTGCACTGGGCACCAAAAGGAGCTCAGCCACAGCAGAGAGGAGCTCAGGGAGAGTTGCTTTACTCTGCTCAGAGTCAGTAGCCCTGTGTTAAAGTTTGCCTTCCCACAGCGGGACTGCCTCTGGTCAAATCGATTCTGGAATTACTAAAATGGAACATCTTCAGACATGCTTAGCATATGAATTTAAAAAGAAATTCTATGACTGACATGCTGAGGAGAAAATGAGGGATGTACTGATGAAACATGAGGCTTAATTCCCAAGGCTGTTAAAAGGGAGTAAGAAAATTAAGTATGGCATGATCAGAAAATGTTGAATGCAGAGGCAGGATATACTTTTCACCTAACTCCTACCAAGAATTAGAAGAGACATTTATGAAGGTAGGACGCTAACAATATGATTGTTTAATTTTCCCATAATTAACCCTGGCCCTTCCAATATTAAGATACGTAAAAACTATTGCATTTCTTTTCATAATTCACTCCCTTTCTGTGCTGTCACACTACATTCTCAGTATTTTTTATTCAATAATTATGAGTACATATAATAATATTAAATAAGGAAAACAATAACCATTAAGAAATTACTCCATCTAGGAAGAAAGGTCTTTGAGGCTTACTGTGCAAATTCAGAAAGCATATGAAAAACCTCCCAAAATATCTATAAAACCCCCAAACTATTAACATGAATAACAACACTAGGTTTACAAGTTATTAAGAGGAAAAATATAAAAATTCAGTTAGGAAACCATACTATTCTCTCTCATGCAAAATAGGTCTTAGATACATTACCATTACAGAGCCTTAACAGAGCTCAATCTAGAGTGGGACAAAACCAAGTAACAACACAAGAACTAGCTCAGATGAGTGTATATGGCAGATCCTGTGTCATGAAGAAAGAGGCTCAAAATCATTGGTACTCACTGAAGCAACTGTTAGTATATAGCTCACTTTGCAAAGAATAAGAATTTAAGTGGGCTTCTAGACAAACTGAGCTTGAAGTAATAGTTTTAATCTCCATTTAAAATGACAGGGATACCCTCTACACATTGTGCTCCCTATCTAAACCTCTCTGTTCAAAAGAAAATGAACAAACAAAACCCTCCCCAACAATACCTGTCTCTTATCTTCTGTCCTGAAATTCCAGAGGAGCAATTTCAGACAGAATCCATTTCAGATTGTACTGTATATCCAAGATAAATAAGCACTACACAGTCTCTTTTCAGCAAGCATTCTGGGATATCCTGCCTATAAATCTCTACTTTTTTAATAGGAGCTGAGACCAAAACCCTTCCTCATCCCTTATATTCAGTCAGAAACTTATGGAAGAAGTGCCTTAAGAATGCATAGCTCTTACTTCATGCTCAGACAACCAAATTTACATGGAATAAAACAGTGTTTTACAACCTAAGATGGAACAAGTTCTTGAAATGTGAAGTTTCTCATACTTCAACAGACCTACCCTACAGTGATCAGCCTATTCACTTTTATGAATTACAAGCACTTATACAAAGTTATCAGTGAAATTTGCCTCAAGTTTTCCATCTCAACTTTTTGTTTTTCCTCTTACTCTTGGGATGTAAAATCTGAGGGCTCAAGCAATGATTTAACAAGCTATGCTGTTAACTGAATTGTAATGGGGAGCTTCGTTGTGCTATTCTACAGCAAAGATACAAAAGAAAAAAAAAAAAAGATTAGTTAGTTAAAAAAAAAGGCAGCTGTTTCTTTTATCTGACATACAGGAGGGCCTGTTCCAGCACTTATGTGAAGATAACAGCTTAAATAACGGCAAAACAGAAGTAGGAATAGGGCCGCTCTGCACTATTCAGCTCCATATCATAAAGGGACACTCCTCAAGAAACAATTCAGTTTAGAGATTTTTACTTTATTTCCCATTCCTGCCCCAGAGCACTCACAGACTCAAAGTCTGCTGTGTTTATGTATTTTAACATACCTTACACAGATCTCTATAGGCCCAAGAAATCTCACCGGCATTACAAACCTGAAGTTCCTGGGTGAGCTTCACCAAAGCCAACAGAAGCAGAACTGTAATTTAAGTTGAACTTAAAGTTAAGCACCCTGCAAGAGATCTCTGAGCTACTCAGGAGTTTGAGAAAGCCCACCTTTTGTCCAAATAAAGATTTACAACCCTAGAGAAAATACACAATAATGCTAGTTTCCCCTCTATGTCCTTGCAGCCCCTCAGAACTAAGCTAGTGAGTTTGTAGACAATTCTTCCCATATTTTCTGAAGCACAGCCAACTTCTCTGCTCCAATACTGGAAATCCTTCCACAAGCCTCACTGCTTGTCCCAGTACCAGCTCTGCAGATGTACGCACTATCTCTATCTCCTCACCCCTTTCTAGAGCAACAGGACACAGCTGGGAACAAAAAAAGCCCCAAGTGCTGACTGTCATACCTGGGCTTCCAAAAGCATCCTTGAAAAACAGACCACCAAGTACATATTTTGCTGCTTTTGTGAACAAGATTACCTATGTTCCTTAATAACTGCTAACCAAGCCCTGAAAATGTGTCCCACTGAAATGCAGCATCCACGGCCAGTAAATTAACATATTCCACACTGGCTTTGGCAGTACTAACAACGTTACATTTACATAAAGATGAACTTCATTAGTTCTCACATATCAGACCCTACTTTATATGCACTTCCATATCTGGATTGCTTCTGCCAAAGAGAATGGGCTAGGTTTGAAATCAGTCAGGCATTTCTGACAATTTTAGCCAGTGATAGAATATGGACAGCTTTCATACCTAGAGGAAAAGAAAGGAGCATTTTAAAATAACAGCTGTTGATGAAGCTGAGAAGATCAAAATATTAAATACCGTTTCAAATGAAGTATCTCTGGGGATCAGGTAGAGATGCATACAAAATATCACCACATAAATCATATAGCTATTTTACAAGTTTTCGTATAGAATGCTGTGGTTTATTTTCACTCTTCTTTTCCAATATCAACTGTAATTGGAATCCTGTTTAATGACTATGATAAAAACATCACGTAAGATACCAAGTATCTCACAATCATAGGACTATTATCCAACCAAAGCTTATCATAAAGACTTCCTCAATCTCTCTACATATTCTAAGTCGCTCAAGCTAACATGAACTTACTAACTTCAGTAATAAGGATATGACATTAGCTTCAATTTTTTTAAATTTTGAAACCAAATAAATCTATGCCAGAAAACCCCAACACTAAATAATTGAATCAATATTTCCATTTGGTAGAAACTCAGAGAAAAATCAATCCAGCATATAAACCCAGCAGAATGCTGAAATTATAAGCTGATGCAAAGTAAAACATGAAATAGAAAAAAGTTTAATTAGGAATTATAAAAACCTTAAAAACACACTGTACATTAGGTTACTGTAAGAATATAAACTCCCTAAGAGAGTTTCTTGAATGCAGAATTGTGAGAGAACCAAAAATAATGACAACTTTCACCCTCCTATATTCTCATAGCAAATCCATTCATCGTTATGATTCAGTTATTATGATCCCAACTTTTCCTACTTTAACATTTTGGTTTTTCTTTCAAAACTCATGCAAAGAAATTAATTTTATTTATTTTTTCAATTATATTTTAAATATTTCTTTGGTTGTTTAAAGTGTCTTGCTGATGTTGGTAAATGCTTTATAAATTCAGAAAAATTTGGAACGGAAAATTACAATCTATCAGACGTAGCAAAGAATTTTATCCAAAACCATGACTTGTAAAAATCTTAGATTATGTTTAATCTAAACCTTACCTAATTCCAATCTTTAATTGCTCTCAAAAAACAGATCCATAAATACAGTGGTACCATATTTTAATAGTATCCCACTAAGAACCACTGATCCATCTGACCATCACTAAAAGGAATGGATAGCTGTAATCCTATTTGTTGGGTTTTGTCTCTTTGTCTTTTTTGGGGGACAAAGTGGAGGATTTCAAAGGAGCTGGAAAGGTTGGCAAGGCAATACAGAATATAATATAAGCATTTTACCAAAGCACTGTGTCTTTGGTATGACCTAATGCAGCCATTTGCTTTCACCACAGAATTTTAATAAGGAGATACTTCTCAGATTACAACTATTTGTGAAAATCTCTTGAATCACAGAGTCACATTGCTTTGATCAATAATTACTGTAAACTTTTCTATTTTATATCCGTTTTGTTTTCCATTGTGTTTGATTGTTACTTTGCATAGATAAATGACTGTTGCCCTAGGATACTTTTGCAAACAAGTTGATAGTCTCAAAGGTTTTAATTATCCTGGTTAAACACAAGTTACTACTATTTCTGCTACTTGATGGGAATTCTAATTAGTATCAAGTCTGTTTTGTTTTTCCTTTTGTGAACATATTTTAAAGATTAAATTAAATTATGTTCTATAAATTGCATCTTTATGATGTAGCTTGTTGACATTAAATCAGGAACACATTTAAAAAGTTTGCAGAAAAATTTTAGCTACCTAGGTAGTTACTGTACCTCACTCTGAGGCCCAGCAGGAACCATTAAATGAGACACATAGGTATACTGACAGAGGAATTACCATTAGTATATTTTGCCACAGAGCAGCCATGCCATTGTGTGGACTGTAGAGCTTACCCAATTAAGCATTTTGACATTAATTTTTCAGTTACCAAAACAATAAAAATAATAGCGTATAGAATTGTCACCTCATTAAAACCCTTGCTTATAATTCAGAGGAGTAAAGGTGAGGAAATGTTAAACATACTTCATAGTCATAACACTTCAGCTGTATTTCCTGCTGTGCACTACTGCTCTGCACAGAATTATTTTTGCATTTGAATAAGATTTGAATTGCATGTGCTTTAATAAATATCAGTCATGCTGGTTAAACGAAGGGTCAAACTCCTGATTAACACAAATAACTGTGGAAATACCTTGCGTATTGCAGATATCTAGGCTACGATGTTAATGATAAATTTTTAAATCATTATGGCATACTTCTTATGCATAAAGGTTTAAATGAAACCTTTTAGAGGCTTACTTAGATATACAGGCTAAAAGATTATGGATACCATAAGGAATTTAAGGACACATTTGTTCTTTGAGTTGCATTATTTTTCTTGTGCAACAGCCTGCTTTGCTAGAACAGAAGTAACTTGTACTTGGAAGGAATCTAGCCTCATCCTTAATAGAACACTAATAATGCAATACATCATATTTTATTAATCCTTTTGTTATGAGTGTAATGCCTTAGGTGGTGGATAACGTATATTTGTCACAGGAAAATGAGATTGTCTGCACTGGAAACACCATCTATTATTTTTGTTCTGGCTTTGCAATTACAATATAGACATCGTGCAAGGTCTGCTTGGGCTACCCACCATTCAACAAATAACACTTGAGAGTCCGTCCTTTCCTAATATATGCTTTCTTTTCCTGTTATTTCTTATGTGCCACTGGGAAAGAACATGCTGCAGAGCACTGCAGTCTGCTGTACTGATCTGAAACACAGCTCAAAATCTGATTTTTTCTAAATATATGCAAAGAATCTGCATGGCAACCAGCAAATCACATGCATGAAAATTCAGCAGCTGTAAATGGACTCTACATGAACAGCAACCATACAAGCTGTGCCAGAAAAATTTGCTTTGATGGTGAATGAATAATAACCCTCCAAATACAATGTGCTTTAAGATTACTTGCTTCTATTGGTTTCAGAACACACACAAAAAAAATAACACTTTAAGTGGAGAGGGACTTCACTAATATTTATTCTTATTTTCAACATTTAGAGTGCAGTATGTTGCTCGTTAGGCATATACAGCACAAAGGATGTTCACCTCACTCTCCAAGCGAAAAAAGAACATAGAAAAATTTGTTTTTTCTTGCCTGGCTTTCTTACAACTAGACATCTGAGAAGCAGGCTTCTTAATCCTGAGCCTACTACTGAGCCATTACAAATTCTTGTGCAATCAAAAGATTGCATACTATCTCTTAGTTATTTTAGGCACTTACAATCTATTTTTTTTTAATTAAAATTTGAGAAGTCAACTTACCTGACAAGTGAAAGCTATTGGGTCAGCCACTTTCTTTAAAATGGGCTCAATTTCCTCTAGTGCAGTATAGTATTCAATCTGTGCTGTCGTCTTAATGACTCCCCCACAGCAGATATTTACATATACAGGGCCAGCAGGAAAATCTTATAAAACACAAATCAGAACACCAGCTGAAAAAATTTTACAGTCCCAGACCAGAGATCTCATGGAATGAGTAAAAAACAGAGAACATCATAGAAAAACATAGAGTTGATGAACTGACTGGATTTATGTTTCACAAATGATTCAGTGCAGTCAGTTTTTTTTTTTATTCAGGTCTTTGTGTCTAACATCAGAAAACTGACAAAAGAAAATACATATATTTGAATCTGTATAAAGCAAAGCTATTGTACTGCTTCACATTAGAAAGGAGATGAAAACAGAATGCTTAAAATTTCCAACTGCCCTTTGATAGACTGATGACCTATAATCAGCTCCCTTATGCCAACATGTTAACGAAAAGTGCATTTATCACAAATGGAGCAATCACTATTCATCTTATGAAACATTTTTCTTAATTGCAGTCAAGGTTCTCAAAACTGTATTTGAGCTAGGCTGCAGAAATTGCAGAATAATTAATTCATTCTAGTTGTTTACCTTGCAAAAGCCAAGGAGAGAGGCACTTGTAGTCTGTTACTCTGTGTGTGCGGCACAAGCCTGCTTTATGAGCACATTTCCCAACCCATTAGTGTTTGTTGTGCCTGGCATTCTGCTGGACCACACTAGCACAGTCTTCTTAAAATACAAACTCTGCCCACAAAACAGGGAAAAAAGAGGCCATTCTGAAAATGGAGAAGAGGAATAGGGCGAGGGAAACTAGATGTACTAATAGTACATCACATTAAATCACTTAAATGGAAACTGCCCAAATGTGGGCTTAAAAAAAAAACAACAATAAAAACCAAAAACCACAGCATTTCTCCTATAACATTATATCAGATTGACCTAAAACAGGATCTTTCCAAATTGAAACTTTTTCATATTTTAAAACAGAATAAACACCAAACACAAATGATATATGAAATATAATTAAACTTGGCTACAGCTCTCTGACAATTTTTCTCGTATTTCATTTACTTTTCACACTTTATTCCTTCATCTACTACAGAAACCTTTTTGTGATCAAGTGTTCTCACAAAAACAAAAAAAAAAAAAAAAAAACAAAAAAAAAAATTTGAAGATCTGTGCATGAAGAGTGCAGCTTTTGTTCTCTGAAATCCAGTTCCAGATGGAAGTTGCCCGTTTATTACGTACTTTCCAGTCAGGTTTTCAAAAACAAACTCTCTGCACCACCACAATGATAAAGAACTCTCAGCCCATACATGGCTGTCGTCTCAGGACAGGGTTCAGGATGAAAATCACAGAATTAATTGGGTTGGAAAAGACCGCCAAGATCATCAAGTTCAACTTCTGACTGATGACCAACCTGTCAACAAGACCGTGCCACATGTGCCACATGCAGTAATTTCTCAAATACCTCCAGGGATGTGACTCCTGTTTCAATGTTTAACAAACTTTTGTGAAGAAATTCCTCCTGACATAGAACCTGAACCTCTTCTGGCATAGCTTGAGGCCTTGTCCTCTTGCCCTGCCACAGATTGCCTGGGAGAAGAGATCAAATCCCACCTGGCACAGCCTCCACTCAAGTAGGTTGTAGAGAGTCATCAGCCTTTTCTCCAGGCAGAACAACACCAGCTCCTTCAGCCACTCCTCATGTGAGGCGCTCTCTAGACTCTTCCCCAGCTCAATTATCCTTCTCTGGACACAATCCAGCACTTCAGTGTCTTTCTCAAAGCTTGGGGCCCAGAACTGGACACAGCTCTCAACTGGTGCAGTCTCACCAGTGCTGACTCACAGAAATCATCGGGTCACAGAATTACCAAAACATAGCTCCAAGAAGCCACAGTAGAAAATTGTAGCCCATTTTTGTAGTATTTAATGCTATTCTAAAATTATATTCCAATCATTTTATAGTAAAATATTATGTAATATTATGTACTTCCTCTGGCAATTCACAGCACATAGCACAAAAGCAAACTGTACTTTGAATGCATAAGCGAGAAATGTGTTAATTCTTAACTTGCATCAAGAACGGGGATAGGTGTGCCGCTTAAATCTGCACAGATGTCTAAGAGAAACTATTAAATAGTTGAAACTGTTATCAACTAGTTATGGATGGAGCAATAGAAAAAAAAATTAGGAACTAGCAAAGATGAGTGATACAGAGAAATTACATGAATGGGAACAGAAAAAAGAGACTATTTCCTGCATCAGTAAGAATTATGGAGAGGAGAACCAGATTTACTGCATTAAATATAAACGGAGACATTTAGTAACAGAGTAATAAGAAAAGAATATTAGGTTTGTATTTTATGGCAGTAATTTTGGAGAATGTTAATCTGTAACTAATCAATGACATTTTAAGACTGCCACCTGCCATTTAACCACAGAAAACCAATCTAATAGAACCTGGGCTCCCATAAATCAAAGGCCTTGCTTCTCTGCATTATTAAAAGTTACGTGTGCAAAACTCATTTACAGGAAACACCCACAAAATAGAAAGGGAAACTACTGATCAGAAAAAGTGAAGGGAGTTGAAACTTTTTAGCTTTTCTTAAAGATTATTTTTCTTACCTGGGGCTTTCATATATTTGACCTTCTTGTTCCAAGAGGCTGTCTGCATTCTAATTTGTTGATTATCTGTTATGAATTCAATTTCTAGAGTTTCTTCATCTATTTCCTCTTTCAACAGAATGAATATTTCACCAGGGTTCTACAAAATTAAAATATGTTCCCATTAGCCCACCAGAAAATTATACTGAAAGTGTAACATTATACTGAAAGTGCATTGAAAGAACTTTCTGTTACCAACAGCTTCACGCAAAAAAAATCATACTACCTAAATATGATGGTATCTCACTGCTTCCTTTAGTATTTCATGAGCTTTCCTTTAGTGTTTCCTTTCTTGCATGAAAGACACAAGTAACATAAGTTTTCAAATTCAGCTTATATAAGAGTATTTTAAAACAGTATTTTAAATATGTATGTAGGCAAATTGTTACATTTTCTAAGGCCCCTCTATAGTTTAGAAGAATGACATCCAACCTAATAAAAATAACGTAAAACACTTTAGAGACACTTAACCTCTTCCAGTAAGGTGACAGTAGACAGAAGCAGCAGGTGATGTGAGACAACAGCCCTCTACTATCTCCTGACCCAGAGGCAAAGTCACTCTCTGAGAACTGTACTGATCTCAACAATGAAATAATGTGTGTAAATAATCTTTAAAAGACAGACAGCAAAGAAATTCTGTGACATTCCGTGTACACTGCAACCTCCATACTTGACCATGGCCACTCAAATAAAGAAATGCAAGTGCTGGATTTTTTACTTCCTCTGTTTATGCTGTCACGTGTTTCTCACAGCCACTCTGATTAAAAGCACATATGAGCATTTATGTCCACTGCATATGTATGCAGACATGTACATATTCTGATTTCTGATTTAATTTAAACTCAAAGTAGGTCTGTGCTGACACAAGCCCTGTGTCATTTATGGTATGGGCACATATACATGTATACATACACCCATCCTGGATTATTGCCAAGACAAATCCCACATCTCTCAAGAAGTGCCTGATTATTTGCTCCCTCAGAAATATAAGGTTCACATGACAGTAATACTTCAACTCAAGCTGCTAAATAACTCTAATAGAGCTGTCTCCAAACTACTTTAGTTCCAAATCTTTTGACTGCACTGTGGATACATCACAAAGGCAAAATAAATCCCACTGCAGTCTCAGTGCACTCTCATTTTGGTCCCTTCATAATTTTAGAAACAAATAGCAGATATAGTATGAATGAGATTGCAGCAGAAGGAGGAGAGGAACAATGCCTGTTATCCCAAAGACTGTAGCATCCAGAAGCCTTACCTCACATGATAGTCTTCTTGGAAGCACCAATATTGACTGCTCATTAGTTTCTAATCTTTCAGAGAGTACATCTGTTTTAAAAGTGAGGTCTGTTTCTTCTGATGTTCCACTGACATCTGACAAGTTAATATCAGAGATAGTCTGGTAACCTGAAATAAATAATGTGAAATGAGAGCATTGTTAATAATCCTAAACCAACCAAAAATGGCAATGATGCGGTTTCCAATGTATTACTCATATGGGATTTGGAGTCACATTAAGGACAGCACATGAAAGCCTGGCAAAATTCTCTCAATGTAAATGTGATGAGACGTCCTCCTTTGATACAGAGCTTGCCTCTGAAGTTTTGATCCTGCAGCCTTGATTTACATGAACAGGCTCTGCACATATGTTTTGTCTTCTTAAAACAAAAAGGGACATAGCCTTTAGATTGAAATTGTTGTGAACAGCAAAGTCAGGGAGATCAGCCAGTTCTGTCATCTCAGAATTCTCATACACTAGGATAAAACAGGATTTTTACCACTCTTCCTTTCTTTATATGTAAATAAGCACATGCTAGATGTGACATTCACATTCTCTGGACAGAAAGATATAATTCTGTCTCTCAGGAGAAGCACAGAGAGAAGAAAACAGTCTTTATTTCTGCACCTTTGTTTTCCCCATGTGGTATGGAGATTGTTTACCTGAAGTGATTACTTGATTGGATTCTGGTGAAGATTGTTTGGATTCATGGACCAGTTGAATCCAGCTGTGTCAGACCCTCAAGCAGAGAGAGTCACAAGTTTTGTTAGTTAGGTAAGTAAGAAGTAAGTATGTAGAATAGTATAGTATCTCTTTAAATGTTTATATGTTATATAAATATAAAGTACATAAATACAGTAATATAGTATAGTTTTATATTAATATATCAGCCTTCTGATCTGGAGCCAGACATCATCATTTCTTCCCAACATCCGGGGTTCGCCACATTTTTTACTGTAAGCTATATGTTTACAACATCAACCCACCTGTCTACAGGAAGGTTTTACATGAGGGCAGACTGTAGAACATGGTACTATTACAGGAGAACACAGATTTCTTTGACACAAATTCCTAATAGACAAAAGGATGGGTAGAAGCCATACATTTTTTAAATAGGATAATCTGTGTTTGGAAATGCTATGCCAGTTATAAAGGTAGCTTGCAATCAGTTTCTTTTCTGTTTTGCTGCACCACATAAGGCCCCAGAGCCTTTAGTGAATATAGTGAATCCTTCACCACATTGCAGAATTTTAATCATGAAAAAGAACTGCCAACTAACTGCATCTGCAGAGCTCTGACTAAGCCTGGGTTTTAGCAAAGGTATCCTTTACCTGCTATGTCTCAGCTGTGTCATTACTCCTCCTTTCCAGACACTCTATTACCCTGTGTGAAACACTCCCGCCACCCATCTCAAAGGACTGCAGCAGCTCTTCATCACAGAGGATTAGTCAGTATACTGCAGTCACCTCGTTAGGTTATTGATATCATTTCATGCAGTCCAGAGTCTAAAAATCTAGACTGGCTGGTGAGACAATATCCTGAGAGACATCCACACTGTCTTGTATTACTGTAAATTATGAAAGACTCACAGTCAATTACATTAAAGGATACAAAAAACTTTTGAGGTACATCTTTTCCTCTTAAATGGATATAGAATATTAAAATAAATTAGTGATGGGCAGAATACAGAACAGTAGCAATTTGGCATTGCTCAAAGAAGTACCACAGCCATTTTGTATTTCTCTGAAAAGGTGCCCAAGTGACTGAGGTACACAAACCATACAGTGCTCCTAAGTGGCACATAAACATTTCCAGACAGTGTCAGTACTGGCAAGTTACAATCAGTTTTCCCACTTCTTGCTTGCCTTTACTTCCCTCATATGCACCAGTTAATCTGATACAGAATGTTTCCTTGCCTTACCAATCTTGCCTTGCTTCAGGCATAGATTTTAAAAAATTACCACTATAATAAACGTATCTGCTAAATACAGCTATACCATGGCATCCTATTGTAGAATCTTTTTTATCCAGGGATATGCTTTAATTGTTAAGGGAAGGTGGGAAGGAAAGAAATCAAATGTCCATGATTCCTTAAAGAACCTGAAGTTTCCTTCAACATCTAATCTAAATTAAGCAGGCTTAATGAGCATCACTAGCTAGTAAAAACTGCCCATCCTACTCCTACTTATATTCTCATGCCTTAAGGCAAAATAATCCTGAATTAAAGCTGTGAATTCAGCATAGATTGTTAAAATTACACTGAACCTACACATAGATGTACTTTACTAAAGTAGCATTAATTCCATTTTCTTTAATTTACTTTAAAAATTAAATAGGCTACACTGAACAAAGGCTATTGCTTCTGAATGAGAACCCACACATAGTTCAATGCAGTTTAACTAATCCAGCTTGGAATTTAAGTGCAATAATTTCTCTGATTATCACTGTGAAGAATAGACTTTATTTAGCACTGCCCTTCAGAAAAATTAACTCTTGCTGAGGAAAACAGTTATGATACTTTCCAGCCCCTAAACAGGTCCTACAAGAAACATAGAGAGGGACTATTTACAAGGGTATGTAGGCATAGGACAAGGGAGAATGGCTTAAAAACTCAGAGAGTGGGTTCAGTTTAGGAATATGAGGAAGAAATGCCTTACAGTGAGGGTGGTGAGACACCAGCATAGGTTGCCCAGAACAGTTGGGGATGCCCCATACCTGGCAGTGTTCAAGGACAGATTGGATGGGCTTTGAGCAACCTGGTCTGGTGAAAGGTGTCGATGTTTATGGCTAGGGGATTGGAACAAGACCCTTAAACTGGTCTTTAAGGTCCTGTCCAACCCAAACCTTCCTATAATCCTGTGATTACGTATGCCCACAATGCATATTTTGGGAATGTATTCACATTTTTAGTCACTCATAAATCTTACACTTACACACACAGAATTCACTTTAGAAGATAACTCATATGAGGTACACACTGCTTCTGAATTTTTTCCACCACTTTAAGCAAAGGAGTCTCACAGAGACAAGAAACATTCCACTATCAGACTGACAAAATGAAAGGAATGAATAACAACTCTGGAAGGCACTGGATTCTCAGATGTCAGTCATCTGTCAGTGACTGTTCTTCAAGGATCATGTAGATGCATTCTAATCTATGTAAAGCTCATGACAACTTTATTTCTACAGTCTGCACTCTACTTACCAAAGATGATGGTAGCCACTTTCACCTTTTAATGCCAATAATTCTAAGAACATTAATCCTATTGCTAACAAGTTGGTTTAAATTGGGATAACATTTTCTTCCCTGTTCTTGAGTGCACTTTAAAATTTTTATTATGCCTAGTGACATCTAAATGCAATATCAGAACTTCAACCCAGTCAATATTGTGATAGCACAGCTATCCCAATAATAGACAATTAAGAAATGTCACTCTTACATCAAAGACTTGAATATTTATGCCTGCAATACAGGCACCAAAGTTTGGAGACACCATCTCCAGCCCTCAAATTCCTACAAGTTCCACACGATCTGTCCTAAAATGTGGAATGTGAAACAACCATATGAACTGTTATTTGTCACTGCTGAATAAGCAATACACCAGAGATTAAGCAAGCCCCTGCTTGTTGGCATTAATTGAAACAAAGTAGCTCATAAAGGTATTAATACTACAATAATGAGACGGTAGTAACACAAATAAAGCAAAATAAGAAAATATTTGTTTTATGTAGGCAGCAGGTGTTGCTAGATGTTTGTACATTTAGATTTTGGACATGTTCATTATTTTTCCTTATTACACTCTTGCTTTTAACCTGGGAGCAACAGCTAAGGAGCTCCACCAATTCCTGAGGCTTTGAGAAAAATTCAGAATTTACAATTGAGGGTGAAGATTATCTTAAAAGAAACACAAAAGGAACATCATTATTATGCTGGACTATGTAAGAGAGAGGATTTATTAAAGGGTTTTTTTTGCTTGGTGAATGTGTTCTTTTAATGTTTTATATAATGGCAATGTATTGGTGAGGTTTTTAAAATGTAGCAGGAGCAATTAAAATACTTGATGAATAAAACCTGACTCTTTCTTGTAGGATCAAAGTATAAGAAATTATTAACTATATCCAATGATGCATAGGCAACACTATGAGCCAGAAGCTAAAAAGAAAGGAAAAATCTATCACAATCTTCCCTTGAGTTATCAGGGCAATACTACTGGGAATTATCATCTATTAGAGAGGGTAATGCTTAATTTCCATCAGATTACTTTTGTTGGCTTATTTTTGACAAATATCTGCTGCTGATATCCACATTGAAAGGACTAATCTTCAATTTACATTCATTTTAAATACTGAAATATAACACACATTTACTGTAACTTGAGGATAGTGCTGATGTTTTCAATTCCACTTCAGTGTTCTTTCCTAATTGATGTAACTTCAATACATGAACTTGGTATCTTTTATGTAAGACCCTTTGGAACACATTATTGATTTCAATTCAACATTTTGAACTGAATTCATGGCATGATTTTGAAATTGTAGTCCTTTATATAAACTGAGAAATTTTCATAATGCATCTCAAGTCTCCTGTGTATTCAGCAACTAATGCTTCACCACAGCTTCTAAGCAACTCTCCTGCCATATTAACTGCCCCCTCACCCCCGAATTCTAACCTTTCAAATATACTCTTTAGTTATCCCTACTGCAGCCTACATGAGAATTTGAACTGTTCTCAGTCTTTGATTACTTGGTAGTTGCTACATGTTTTGAGTCAACAATGTACGTGACAGATTTAGTGCATTAAAAATAGCAGAAAACAAACTTATGAAAGATTTATGTGTTTTCTAAGGCTACCCACAAAACGAATCTTTCAGTCAAAATTAGGCTGGTTTTACAAAAGCAAAATGCCTGCTAGCTTTACAAATTTCAGTTCTTCCTCAAGTTTTGCTAAAGCAATGCCAGCTGAAGAACTGAAACTGAGGTATGAAAAGGGCCCTCAATTAGCCCTAGATCACACCTCATACAAAAAAATGAGAAATATGGGTAAATCAAGTTAGGCAGATGATAAGGAATGGGAAGGTAATCTAGCACCTGTGGCCACCTTGCCACATGAAAGAAAAATCAGGGCATT